TCACATTTCCAGGGGACAGTGAAGTCCGAAGAATACTTACTGCCAGACAGTACGAGATAGTAACAGTTGCTTGTATGGATTACGTGACAACTGTTGTTTGTGTTTACCAGTAGATAATTACTTACTGCGTGCAGTAAGTCAGACGGTTTAGCAGATCACAGAAAATGAGCCGTTTTTTAAATTCAATTCAACGTGACCATGAAAAGAAGTTCAAATATAGCCTCACGTGACGTTCATCCAGATCAAGCGACCAGAGCGCTTCTTGTTTTTTGATCTCAAATAAGAATTCTTTGTCAATCAGAGGTTCTGAGCTTCCTTTTATGTCGATTCGAAGATGTTTCTGCTCAATTTTGACGGTGACGTCTCGGCTAGATGTAACCGAGTCCGGTATCTGAGAGTATGCGTCATGTGAGGACCAATCGGCACTACCTTCACACGGATATCGATATCCTTAATTGACTGGCTCCAGGAATATAGATCTCGCCTGGCACCGTTGTAACAATCTGGTTCAGCGGTATAAAATCTTTCACCATCTTTCGACTTGCTAAAAGGGTAAGATATTAAAGCACTTACCTGGAGTAGGTTCCGGGGCCGCTCATATCATCTTTGTGAGGCTTGGTCGGACGTTTGCTGGTTGGCTTTGGTTCCGCATCCTTCGACTCAGCAGTCTTAGGTGTGCTCTCATCTTTTGGAAGTGAAAATATATGGCAATGTGGTTACCTGGATGTCCTTCTGCATTGGCTCCGACCGCGTTCTGATGTTGTTTTTCGTATGTTTGGAACATAGTATTGTATTTTTCAAACGACTGAACAAAATATAAGACAGATTTAGAACATACGCTCGCAACAATTCTCCGTGCCACATTTGGAGGGAAGCCTAAGGTTGATTTTGAGTCGGGCGTCCGGACGTAAAATAAATCAGTCCTTCACAAGTCAACTGTAGGAACTAATATGGAACAAACCTTCTCATTAAAAATCCAAAAATAACATCCATAAACTTTGGTAAGTTTCCTTCATTCTGTAATATACCCAGAAGGGCGTTATCATACATAGTGGTAAGAGACATTGTCACGCGCAGCAAGACACAGGAACGAGGAAGAAGCACACTAAACGCAGAGGTCCAATAAAGTGTGGGAAACCAAACACTCGCGAGCAATTCGGTGCAGAAAAACACATGAGGAATAATTCGCTGCCTTGTTTATTGTGCTCAGTTGTCTCAATGCTTTTTCACCAATTACTACAATCAATTTTCTTTTTTCGATCCCATTTAACCGGCTTTGGACTACTCTCGGCAACAGGTTCTAGTAATCGACCGCAGTACGGGACGTTTTGAATCTCGCCCAGGGAATTCTGCACCCTACAACAAATGCTACTTGCAAGTGCCTCATTATTTATGAGCTAATTCAAGTTTATCAAAGGAAATACAGGCAAACTCTCTTGAACTCTCTTAAACTATACTATTTAGTCTTTGCCGTTTTCTCTGTCCTTGGAAGCTGTAGCAATTTGTAGATTAGACACAGGATTTCTCCACCAAGTGTCACCTTTTCCCTGTACATATTATTTCCTTGTAATTTTAATTCTTGTTTATACAAAATAGGCAAGATGACTGTGGTAGGTGTAAACTTTTATTCAAGTTGCAGGTCCGGACATAAATACGAGAACTTACTTTTTGTGCCCCACAAAAAGGTGGGCGCAGGGATGATGATATGCACTTGGTAAATTTTTAGTACTCGTAGACTTGGGAAACAAGTACCGCAATTTCTTTCCCACACACTCATCTGCGCATGTTGCAAAGACAGAATTAGGAGGACCAAGGGCGAAATCAATCACTGCTTATCCGAAAATATACAAAAAGTAAGTGTCCAATCGCGAGTACTGCATTGTTTTACCTTCGCTTAAATTAATT